GTCTCCCCTGGGTCTTCCTCCCGAAACTCTGTGTTTGGCCTACTCCTTCTGGCTCTCCCCAAAAGTGCTCCAGCATTTCCCTCCAAACCCCCTTTGGTGTGCTGGCTTTGCCAGAGCACAGCTTCTGTACTGGTATTCCCAGGAGGAGCCGTTGGCGTCAGGGAACAGGAGTTTGGGATTGTGGGGATGTGGCAGGGAGGAGGGATAGAAAGTGCATCTCCTAACATTCCCATGTGTCCCTGCTACCACCAGCCCCAGCACGGAAGCTGCCGCCAAAAAGGCCAGAGGGCGACATTAAGCCGTACTCCTCCAGTGACAGAGAATGTAAGGGGCTTGTGGAGGGGGCGGGGTGAGGATGCTCAGGGGGAGGCTGGATAAGGGAGGGGAGCCAGGGGACAGTAACAACAGGCTACAGTCTCTCTCTCTCCCTCCCTTCCCCCACCCCCTCCCTAGTCCTAAAGGTGGCTGTGGAGCCCCCTTGGCCCCTGAACAGGGCCCCTCGCCGAGCTACACCCCCAGCCCACCCACCTCCACGCTCTAGCAGCCTGGGAAACTCTCCGGATCGGGGTCCCCTCCGGCCCTTTGTGCCAGAGCAGGAGCTGCTTCGCTCCCTGCGTCTCTGCCCCCCGCACCCCACTGCCCGCCTCCTGCTGGCCGCCGACCCTGGGGGCAGCCCAGCCCAGCGCAGACGCACCAGGTAACAGTGCCTGCAAGTTTGGGAGCCTTGGGATGGCTAGAGATGGTGAAGGGTGAGGTGACTCTCCCAGAAGTGTGAAACAGTGAAATCTTGACCAGAACACAGTTTCTGCAGTGTTGGTGGAGAACCAGTCAAGGGGTTGGGGCCTCATGTGGAGCATGGACCCACTACATTCTGAGGGTCATTCAATGAATAGGAAGACTTAGAGATTGGGGGCGGGGGCTTGAGCCTTTCAAGACTGGGGCAAAATCTTGGTTTAACGTTTTCTGGGGCTAGGCATGTGTCTCACAGATTGGGAACCAGTGGGTTCCAAGGCCTGTATGCCAAGAGCCCTTCCAGGCAGGCAAGGCGTGAGTGTCTCCTTTACTTGTCCTTGGCTTCCTCTTCACCTCTGACTTCTGTTTTTCTCTCTCCCCTGCCTTCCCTCTCCCCTCCCCCTGCCCATAACATCCCTGTGCAGCTCCCTTCCCCGATCCGAGGACAGTCGGTACTGACAGGAAGCCTGGGAGGGCAGATACCCTCTCCCGGAGCCCGCGACCCACTCCTCTACCAAGAGTCGTTCTTCCCCGCTCTTGAACAGCTGGGTTGCCAGGGTTCTAAGTAGCCTGATACTTTGTAGCTTTTCTTTCGACTGAAGACACCCCAATACGCCCAGCCTGTGCTCTGAACCCACACACAGGCCGTTCTGGTCAGGGTCTCTGGCTAAGTGGCTGCTACCAACTCCCTAGAGAAGCACACTTTCTGCTCATGGTCAGACTCCGGACCACCAGCGGTCCAGGGAGACCTTTAAGGAGTGTCCTGTCAGTGGATTACTTTCCCTCCACCGTGCCCAGTGGGAGTCCTCATCCTACATTCTGCTGCCAAACCAACCTGCCCTCTCAGTGTGCTGATGCCGGCCTGTCAGCCAGGTCTGCCTCAGAGCAGGCCAGTAGGACAAGCCCGCCTTGGCTGCCCGGTGGGGTCTTCCCAGTGTCGCCAAACTCTTCCTTTCCAAGTGTCGTGTAGATGCCGCAAACTAACGTGGCCCTGGGGTCTCTTCAGGAGACACACGCCACCGCTCTCCTCAGCCTGATCTGACTTTTGGCAGTAGGTCCCAGCAAACACGCCAGGACCACTTAGCTGTGTCTTTGAAGAGAAGCCTGGTCCATTAGGTCCTGGAGTCCCCTCTGACCTTCCTGCCTCCCCAGTACAGTACAGAGCTTGAGGATTGTCTTGAGCTAAGATGGAATCCTCCTCCTGCTGCTCCTCCTTTCTCCTCATAGCCAGAGCCTCCCTCCCTGCTTCCATGCCCAGGTGTAGAAAGGCCCTCCATTCCTGCCCGCCCTTGGAATGTGCAGCAGACCAGGTGCCCACCAAGTTCCCTCACGTCCCTGGGAGCAGGACCTCCCTCTGCCCGCCTGGTCCTTCCTGACTCCCTCAGTGTTGTCTCAATAAAGTGTGGATTCTTCCATGTTTTCTAAATCTACATTTTCAATGAAAAACAGCTTCGTCAGTGCTTCGCACTTTCTTCTGGGGTCTCAGCCCCTCTCTGTCCCCCTCACCTCCAGCTCTGAGATACGAGCAGAGCTCAGATCCGCCCTTCTCCGTCTTTGTTGCTGGTTCTGCCCTGGAGTTGCAGTAGCTTTGTGTAGACCTCAGTACTCACTTGGGAACCTTGGCCCCCAGTGACTTCCTTCCTCTGGCCAGCCCTTGGTAAGGCGTTAAGATTTGCTGGGACCTGGCAAGTCACTAACCTCAGAAATGTTTCTGGATTCCTTTCCTATTCTCTGACTTCCTCGTGTCTGCACCATACCCCACAGCGAGCGCTCTCTCAAGACAAGTCCTACCTACTATGAAGAATCCCCAGAGGGTGCTGGGCATGGTGGCACAGGCCCTTAATGGCATTCCTTGGGAGGCAGAGGCAGACAGATTCCAATATGCGTTTGAAGCCATCCTGGGCTATGTAGCAAGTTCCCCGTCTAGCCAAGGCTACACAGTGAAACCCTGTCCCGAGTCTGTCATCCTACTCGAAGGGCTGCCTTCTCCTCCTGAATTTGGCCTTGCTACTCTGGCCTGAGATTTCTTATCCGTAAGGGAACTATGTCTTTTAAACATCAGGGCACATGGTCCAGAAAGTGCCTTTTTTGTGTGCAAGAGTGTTTTTGTGACATAACTGGATCACAGAACACACCACCCCAATTAGAATATGCACATATCAGGATGTGAGCAAAAACGTTGAGGTATAAAATAAGCCCTCCCCTCCATTTGCTAGGAAAAACAGGCAAGAACCCTTTGGGGTGGCAGCTGCCCTTTGTCCTTGTCCCCATGCTATCCTCTCTCCCCTGACCCCTACAAACCACCTTTCACCCTGAGCCTCTTCCCCATCATCTCCCATTTCTTCTACAGGGGAGGTCCCCCGGGGCTGGTAGCCCAGAGCTGCCGCTACAGCCGCCATGGGGCAGTCAATCCCTCATCCCTGGGCACGGGTAAGTCACCACTCTTTCTTACTCTCCAGCGAAGTAGGTCACACACACACTGCCACAGTCTCCCCAGATGCCTGGTATTTCCGCAGGCAACCGAGAACGGAAGCAGGGGGAGCAGGAAGCAGAGGATAGGTGAGGTCTACACCTCCCACTAACAGCACCTTCTTCTGATCCTGCCTAACACTCCTCTCAGCTGCTTCCGCCTCAGTCTGAGCTGGATACCAGTTTCTCCCACACGCCTTTCCTCCTAACATCGATAAGCCTTCTTCCTTGTGGGTTGAACTCTGGTGCTCCCCTCTGCTGTGCTCTGACTGCCGAAGTTTGCAGTGTTCTAACCCAACAGGTGGTATCCACATTGAAAATTTGGCACCTGCGACCTTCAAGACCCTCTAATATTAGAGATTGCCATTTGCAGCTCTAATGCGCTTTCAACTCGCTGCCCCCAGGTCGGCCAGTGAGGATCAGGACCGGCCTGGGGAGGAACCTGCTTCAGCTGCTCCAGGGGCCCAGGCTCCGGCAGCCCAGTCCTGGACTATGGGTGGCCACATGATGGACGCGAGGTTCATCCGAAACCTGCACGAAGGCCGTAGCACCAGGCCGTGGTGATGGCAGCCCCTCGCACGCACGCTCGCTCGCTCGCTCGCCAAGTCGGCATTGCTTCTCCCTCACTGCAGAGCACCGCCCTGGCTCGGCTCTCACAGCGGATGCATTCATTCATTCATTCAACAGGCCCGTCTGCTCCCGACCGTCTGTATCTTATTTCCAACCAGAGCAATAAAAGTATTTATTTTTTATCACGGTAGCTATTGAGAACAAGTGGCTTGTCACTAAAGCTCACCCACCCAGCCTTCTCCTTAGACGGCGTTCAACGCTACCCTGCCTCGGAGTTTGCCGGGCCTGACCAAGGGCTGCGCAGGCGCACCCCGCGGCGGCGGCTCGGCGGCGGCGGGCCCACAGTGCGCAGGCGCACCCCGCGGCGGCGGCTCGGCGGCGGCGGGCCCACAGTGCGCAGGCGCACGGCGTCTCCGTTTCCCTCCCTCAGCCCGACCCCCTCCCTCCTGTCCCTTCACGGAGCCGGCTCCGGGGCGCGTCGCCCCGCGAGGAGACGCCATGTACCGCCCGAGTCGGGGGGCCGCCCGGCGCCTCGGGCCCTGCCTCCGCGCCTACCAGGCGCGACCCCAGGTGAGGCGGCGGCCGCCGGGGCGGGCGGAGACCCCTGAGCGCCGGGCAGGGGCGGGGCGCCGGGCGGGCGCGCAGGCGCGGTGGCCCCGCCGCCCCTT